AATTATTGATGTACAACCTACTACATTCTGTATAACCCTTGATATTTAATATCACTAATGAGCCTCGGTTCATGATTCTTCAAGTAGGTACCAAATATACTGGAATGACTTGGGCGGTTTGCTATCGATTTCCTTGGGCATAAAAGTTATGGACTCGAATATGACTATCCATTGGGAGATTTTACACCAAATGACTAAAATTTTTTTGCAAATTTTATTGAGTACAGTGGCACCAGGTTCAGAAAGTCCCTTACAGGGCGAGCCCGAGGGCGCTAGAAATTTAGACTGTACATTCTCATGCAAAATTGATATAAACAAGTACGCCATAACGCCCGTGCTATATGAGTTGCATAACATCAAGAGGAAGAGGAAACAGTAAAATTATTAATTTTATTTCAAATTATTACAATCACATTGAAATTAATAACGCTCACATTGACTAAATTAACACACAACGAATTGTACAATGTACATTGTCAATAAATTGATCTGTCGTAGGAATGTTATTTGCTTCTTAACCAAGAACGTATCACTTCCTTACGATTATTCATCGTTGGCGGCTTATTTATTTGAACACTACGGTAAGGTGCGTTATCCATAACCACAACTGAGTTTGCTGGTAAATTTTGTATAAGCTGCTTCTCTAACCACTGCATAAAGTTGGTAGGATTCATATCGTCGTGATAATCCCCCGATTTACTGTGCGACATCCTGTACAAAACCAGAACGACTACTAGCATACTACGATGTACCTCTGACCAGCCCTATTGGATTTATAAACTTCCGATACTTCATCTGATTGTAGGCATTTACTCACTCCGTACGATGGGTGAATATAGGTTTCGTCCAAGTATATAACGGGTCTTTTGTCACATTCAGGTGTTCGTTTTCTTTTAGTGTTAAATAACGAGAACACCATGTTACGATGCCACTTCTTTCCATTAACAACCTGCGTTTTTCATAACACTTTTTGTATCGAAAACCAACAATTGCTTGTGAGGAGTTTCCC